TGAAACTTTGCCCTATGTACAAATGCAGTTACTATTTATCATATTCCATTTGTAAGAATTATGAGATCATGTAATGTTTTTGTATACATACCATTTGGATAGAATCTCGGCTTTATCTCCTTTAGGATCATATATGACTTCAGTAGAGATACCAGTAGACAAAGAGAATCCTTGTAAAGGAATATTGGAGGTTAGTTTTTATAGGTAGATATCTACTATTGTTTATCAATATTGACTGCATATTAATACTTTTAGTTATGCATACCTTTATGCACAGATGGTTTTAAAGCAGTGAATCCAATCACATCAAAGGTTTTAGCATATAAACTAATAGCATCACAGGCATCGTCAGCTAAATCGTTCCAAGTAGTTATGACAAGAGGTTGATCCATGCTGGAAATAATTAAACCAAGATGTAAAATTTAGCTTCAAATGAGTTCATATGAATCAAGTTATATAAAGTCAAGGTTATGTACAAACATACGTTTGATCAGTTATAACAATTTCTCTCACATGGCATTCTCGGTCTTGATTAATGTTGATAATACGGACTTTATCTTCAACATAAAGTACAATGCCTAGAACATCTACAATGTAAACATATTAATTGTAGTGTTAGTGATTGATCACCTACTAATTTGTTTATTTGAAATATAAAGCAGAAACTAAAATACTATTTACCATATTTAGCTCCTGGCATTAGCATACGTGGAATTGACTGTATAGATTGAAACATTGGTCCATCTAGTATTTGTTCAGAATTCACTCTCTGTACCACAGTTTGTCCTCCAAAAGACATTTGAAAAGGCAGCTCATTTGAATTGTTTCTCCATCGTTCTTCTATGAGCTTGATAGGAGCATTTGAAATGAGATATTGACCATTATAGACTATCGCTTCATTAAAACTATCAACTTGTTCCCCAAATAATGCAGCCTTCATCTTATTTCCCTGCAATTTACAGCTAATCACATTTTACATTCTCTCCTGACATATAACTGTGATAACTAACTTTTAAGATATTAATGGTTAATGATATAGAAAGCATATTATTATTTCAGAAGAGTAAAGAACCTTTTCATCACTGAGTAACAAATTTTGAAACAATACTCCTTTCTTGGAAGAAGTTTTTGGCCTTGATTTCTCCACAACTTTAACTTTCACACTGTAATTCTTGCTACTGCTGTTCAATTCATCCAAATATACATACCCTTGTACCATTGTTATGAACCTGCAAATTTCATAGATGCAAATTTATTATGTCAATCTTTCTTGTGATGTGTAATCAGAACTTAGAAAATGGTATATATATATATCTAAACAAGTTATAATGACATGCAAACAAGAAATTAGAATAAATTTAGAATTTACCTTGAATATTTAGTAGTAATTGATGTCTCAAAAGTTTTTTGCTGTCTCTGATGAGAAAAATGGATTGTGAGATTCAGTATATATAAGATGTATATAGGAGGAAAAGGACAAGCAAATGTATCTAGAGCACAGTATGTTGTGCAATGGAATGCATGTATCTAGAGGCTGAATTTTTGTCTTGTTCTTATTTCTTAACACTGAAGATATTTATACTGTAGAAGATATTAGATCATACTTGTACTTTAAGAAGATTTTATGTACTTTTGCACATCTTACAGCAGACTTTAAATTGACTTAGGTTATAGACTTCATATGTCATCATTTGTTTATGATTGTATGTTTTATATAATTTAATTTAATATGGTATAATCTTTGTATTATTTTTTCATGTGTTTATAGAATGAATTATGAATTATAATAAGTGTGATTTTGGCTACGTTTCTAATCAGACTTTATAAGCCTTCCCTAAACAAAAAGGGTGATAATGACCTAGCAAAGTTGTACACTACTAAAACAGAACCTGAGAAGTTCAGGAGGCAAGCAGATCTATTTCAAAATATTAGCCAAAATCAGAGTTATAGGAAAATTCTAACATATAGAACAGTATAAACTTGTCCTGATTTTAGGTTGAGTATATAAGTTAAACCTAATATGTTCAGACTGAAAAGTTCTTAAACTCAGTTCAAGCCAATATACAATGATCAACTCGTTTTTCACCCGTTGTTCTCAGTTGTATATAAACAGTTTCAACAAGAGCTAATAGTAAACATATTTACTGTAAAGATGTACACTGACATTATATAAAATCCTGATTATCAGTCTTGCACATTTAACAGCATTACAACAGAAAACTGTAAGTGTGATGAGAAGTTCAACACTTCTATTTCCTGTAAATATTCCAAATTCTTGTTGTAAAATAATTATTTCATAGAACATGCAATAGCAATGGTAACCATTAACAACATAGCAAAAACAATTACAAATGCAGCATCAAAATGATCTGTTGCTTCAGTATTTTTATTAACTACAGAATTCATTAAAGCACCAAATGTATATACCATGGTTCTTGCACCAGTACACTAAAATACATTATAAATAAAGCTAAATATGATTGTAAATGCTAATTAAGTCCAAAGAATACTACCAATAATCACATTGGTGCCATTAATAAAGTAAAATACAAAACACAACTACCATCAATCACTTTTCTAACATATCCCAGCTAATCTTAAAATTTGATAACAAACAACATTCTTAACAGATGATGGAAGGAATTCTTTTGGAGGCATATTAGAAAAGACTGTAACATCAATCTGTTTCTTTGCTCGTGAAAGAGCAACATATAGCTGGCCATGTGAAAAACAAGGATAAGGAAGATATACAGAAACTTGGCTTAACGTTTGTCCTTGAGACTTATTTATTGTCATAATAAAGCTCAACTTCAGTGGGAACTGTTTCCGTTCAAATTGAACAGGATATCTAGATGAAGAAGAAGGACGAAGGTTTATCCGTGGAATAAAAACCTCATTTCCTTTGTATTGTCCTACGGCAATGACACATTGGACAGTATTTGGGTATAAATTCTTACATATAAGGCGTGTTCCATTACATAGGCCAGCAGAAGGAAATAAATTCCGTAGCAATATTACAGGACAATTTTTCTTTAAAATCAGCTCATGAGGACTTAAACCACCAGAAGAAAGTTTATTCAGGAACTCTGTAGGATACACGTCACATGTATCACTCAACATTGAATCAAAGCTTTTATAGATTACCGCTTCACCAGGAAACTGATGTATAAGTGCACTATTGATAGAATCAACAGTATCAATTAAAGGAGTTAAAATGGCTCTTTCTGTGAACAATGTGCACTCAAACTCCCCTTTATACATTTCGGGAAAGATTGTCCTGGTAACTTCTGATACAGGATTTACATCAGTTTTAAAAGGTTTACAAATGTTCACAGGTAATTGAACATATGTATTTTTAGACTGCTGTAATTGACCATTTCCCAGAGCAAGTAAGAAAGCAGAGAAATGTGGATCTTGTTTGGCTCTTTGATTCTCTGTTAAATGAAATTTGATGAGCTGAGGCCATATATATGAGGTAACAATGCTAGATAACACAACTTCCTTTTGACTCTTAAGCGGAACAACAGGTAATACTTGTCAAAAATCCCCACCGAGAACAACCAATTTTCCTCCAAACAATTTAGCATTACCACATATATCTTGTAGTAATAGATCTAGCGATTCCAAATTACTTTTATTTGCCATAGAAGCTTCATCCCAAATGATTAATGTTGTTTCCTTCAAAAGCGCTGCTAAGCTACCTTGTTTAGGAACATCACATACTAATGAACTTTCAATATCAATTGGGATTTTGAACCTTGAATGAGCTGTTCTGCCAGAAGGAATATTGGCTGCTGCAATTCCAGAAGTAGCTGTAGGTAATATTATCTTGTCCATCAGCCTAATTTTCGCATACAAAGCATTATACAAAAAAGTTTTACCTGTCCCACCAGGTCCATCTATAAAAAATGCTCCAGACTTTCCCAAATGAACACATTCCATAATATGTGAAAAGGCAACTAATTGTTCAGCATTAAGACGATGAATGCAATCAATACATGATTGAGGAATAGGTGCATCTAAAGCATTAACAATGTCTTTAGTATGCTGCAATCCATCTTCTTGACCAGAACATAAATCACCCAATCCTACACTTTTTAGTGTTTTTCCCATAGCTTCTAAATATTGTTCAACTGATCTAATAGTTAGCTTTCTAACTTTATTAACATTCTCTTGGTATTGGTGACTGAAATCTTCAGATAAAGACTTAAAATATTTACACCATAAAGAATAACGGTCCTTTGGTTGATAGAATATCAGGATAGTTGCAAACAAACGACGTAGAGCCACAGGTAAATGAGCATTTTCTGCCTCGGACATACAAATATCACCTACATCATCTTCCTCAAGTATTCCTAATTTTATAGCAGCTTCTTGAAATGTAGGATATAAATGTCCATTAACTGTTCTGAGATCATCAAAAGATATTGGACTTTTAACATTTAGCAAAAGTAATCTCAGAAAAAATCGTTCACCTTCAGCTGGATAAACAAATGCTAACCTCCCAACAACTATCTTGTCTTGCTTTCTTTGAATCCATTCTTTACTGGATGCATTCCATCGATAGTGCTCACAAATTCATTATATGAATATCCTAAACCACCTTGGTAAATTACAGTCATTAAATAAGTCAAAAGTAGAGAAAAATATCTAATCATTATCTAAAAGAGATATAATGTGTATAATAATAATAACACTTTAATCAAAGAAAAGACTCTATCTTAAATATAACAGATTTTATGTAACACAGTGATTTTAAAAAAGCACTATTCAATAATAAGTATAGAATTTATTATATAAGAAAGAACATTAAGAAATGTGACAGTAATGTGGTTGTGTACATACCTGGAACAGCAACATCAACTAAAAAGAACTCAGTTAACGGAGTTCTACTCCGTCTACCATCAGAAACAACTGATTGTAGTCGTTCATGTGCCCTAAATTGAACACTCTGCATGTTCAGTAAGTGAATTGGTAACAGGAGAACTGGGGGTTGCATTTCAAATAAAATCAAAACCAAAGATTCTCCATGCAGCTTCACACGGTGACACCCATATCCCAGATTGATACTGTTTAATTTCATCAATCACATTGTTTTCAGATACAATGTTATATTGGATTCGATCATGACCTTTATAAACATACTTGTACAAATATTTAACTGCTCTTATAGTTGAGCACACCTCAACATTTATATGGCTATTAAACATCAGCGATAAATATGGATTGTATGGAATAAACCAGCGATTGTCCAACTTGGCGTTCCTTATTCTAACACTTTCTCCTGTGTTTTTGTGTCTGTAAAAAGGATAGCCTTCTTTATTTACAACGGTCTCATCACAGAACTGTTTAAGGTAACCATATTTGCAAGATTCTTTAGTTCCCGATTTGCGCATACATGCACATTTAGGATTCAAGCTTCCACATGGCCCATGCATCATATGTCTTAACAATATTTTCCGAAGTGCTGGAGATGAAGTAGGAGGTAATTCTGCAGATACAAATTTATCATAGTCTTCAATACGTCGCAGCTTGTACTCTGGCTTTAAAATGATCAGGAAGTGTGCATGTGGAAGTCCTCGTTTTTGAAATTCAACCACAAATATCATAGCAGCTACTTCACCAAAGCACTTTTTCTCTTTGATTTCCTTTTTCAATGCAATTAATTTAGCATGGAAAATTCGTGCTACTAAATCAGGTCGGTCTTGTGCTTTCTTATTAGGTCCTAATTCATCTTTGATCTCAGGCCAGTTTGCATTGCACGTCATTGTTACAAACAGATCAGGTTTTCCAAACCTTTGAACCAAAGCTATTGCATTGAAATAACGCTTCTGCATATCTCGCGGTCCTCCTATATACGTAGGAGGTAATACAACCCTGCGACCAACATTTGCTGCTATTTTTAAACCACAATCCAAAGAATCAAGTACATCCTGATATAAATCAGCTCTAGTTGTATCTTGATTCGTGCAGAAGAAATCTAGTCTTGTATTGTCCACCTTTACATACATATCAACTATATACTGCTGTAAACATCTCCCAGCCCGGAGCAGCATATTATCATCCCTTATTTGAAATTTATAAGCATAGTATTCCCTAGCTGACACATACTTATCTGCTTTTGTATTTCGTCTTGCAGCACCTAAAATGTAAAAATATTTTAACTATTAAAAATAAATTATAATACACATTTATATACTTGACTTGATATAAATGGTAGATTAAAATTTAAAACATACGTGATTCTTCTTCTGCAAGTAATTCTTCTGTAGTATGAATAGCACATGACATAATAGGATCAACCTGTTTAGCTAATTGCTGCCTCCCTCCCCAGGTCTTTTTTTTTTAGTCCCTGAGTCCAACCACACTCACCTCTTGGAAATAAAAGAGGATATTGTAATGGATCATAGCAACCATAGTAGTGTTGAATTCGATGTGACTCTGATGACTTACCCTGAACAACGATGTGAGGACTACTACTATTGGTAGAGTTTGAGTTATCTGGCCATATACCAGCCACTTCATCAGCTGTTGGAGCATTGTATACTCTTTGGTCAGGAACTGTATTTGTATTCAAAATAATAGTTGTGGACTCTTCAACAGGTATCTCTCTCAAAGATCTGAAAAACCTAGCATATGGATTTTCCTTAGTAACATTCATCAATATAGAAACAATGTCCTCTCGTACTTCTGGGAAGCTATTTGTGCGATTGGCAGTTTCATGTTGACCATCGTAGAAATACAACTGTAAATACTTAGCCTTCCCATCAGCCGGAAGTAAATCTGGAACAAAGTGATACATCTGACCATGTCCCTTGAACAAATAAATCCCCTTAAGAGAATCAGCACCATAATTACCACCCAGTGAGCTGAAAGCAAATAAATTGTTGTACAACCGAGCATATTTTTTAAAGTGCAGAGCATCTTCATCATCACTTGTAAAGAGTCTTTTTAGCTCCAAGGGATATTCATTAACATCTATTTGAATTTCTCCATTACCACAACAAAAATGCAAGGTTTCATATTCAAATTTCTTAGCATTGCATTCAGAACAATAATACGGCGGGGCTAATTCTGCAGGACCAGTAGGTAAACACATTCCAATTGTAGCTGCTGGGATATCTGCATGTACATGAAATAGTGCAAACAAAACACTATTAACTTGGCATTGCATTATATACAAATACTTGACACACTGGAGTTGTGACCCTAGTTCAATTATTTTTCTGCATCTAAAATAGTATTTTTCTTCCACATATATCCAAAGTTCATTTTCACATATCAATGAATTAATCTGAATATAGAACCTACCTGATGAGTGTGTACGTAAAAGATTCTCTGCCTACTTGTGCTACGTCTGCTCACTGCATCAAATGTTGTTATAGCTGCATAAAACATATATCTTCAATACATTAGTCTTTTGGTTAAGTTTCTGTTTGTAGGCAATAGCTTTTACATACTACTAATTTACCAATTTCATTCACTAGTTGCTGAGCCCCGAGTTCCCTGCCAAGTATGTCAGTTTGGTTATGTGAGCTGGTATTGCAAACACCAAATATTAACAATGTGTATGTATATAAACTTTGCATAGGCAAGAAATCCAAGTACACTAATTTAGAATGCACTACATATAACAACCACCTGACAGCATTTGACCAAGACATGGCTGCTATTGCACGCCGACGTTTACTTGTACTTTGAAGACGCCTTGACATTAGTTCAATGCCAACCTATTCATAAAATACATTATTGAACAATTAGATACAAAAAAAGTACTGTTTCGGGGTTTTCTGATGTCCTGCGGGAGAGTTACAATTCCGAGACTGGGACCGGACGCCTGTACCTGCAAAATAACGGAGACTCCTGAGAGCTCCGCCTCCAACGGTCAAGTTAGTACCTGATTAAGGAGTAATTAATACGGAAATTAAAGTAATAAGACCTCTCTAGGTGAGAGTGTTTAATGTTGGTAATCTGCTTTGTTAGCGAGATTAGCCGGTTATTAACGAGATTAATTGCTTGATCAATTGCCTCTCAATTGCTTGATCCCTTTTAATGAGGATTAATTAAGTATTTATAGTCTTGAGAAGCGTGCCACTCTCTAGGTTTAGGGTAAACCTAGGGCTGACCGGGCCTCTAGACAGGATTGGGCCTTGTTGGCCGGTTTTCCCATTTGGCATGGGTGGACACGTGGCGTGCCTCGATTGGTCCGTAGAGGACGTATCTGTGATTGACACGTGGCAGGCTCCTATTGGCCTTCGTGAAGGACACGTGGCGGAACCTGGTTGGTCCACTTGTCAGACGGTGATTGGTGGGTAAAAATCCCCTAATCATTTGCCCCTCACAGGTGGCACGTGACTGGTCACGTGTCGCCTGTGACAGGTGTCGCACGGTGACAGGCGACGGCCTGCTACAGGTGTCACCTTGCAAACGGCCGAGAGATTTTCCTGCCCAAATTTTGAATTTGGAAGCGACCCTTCGCCTTCTCACTTTGCCTATATAAGGAAGTGCTGACTTCGGTCATTTTCACATTTGAGAACTTTGCGAGAACATTCGGACCCCTGAACTTGCTCTGACATTTCGGACCTTTTCTGCCTACCGCCTGTTCTGACAAGCCGACTGCACCGGATTTCCAGAACTTCATCAACCGTCACTCGTTCAGGTAACTCAGTTCTCTTACTCTTAATTTTCTTTTTATTTTTTGAAATGGCACCACGGAAGCACACGACACGACCTAAGTTAGTGCTGAATCTAGGACTAGGAGTGCCGCCTGCCCTTTTCTGGACCCATCTTTGCCCTTTATACAAAGTCCGACTATATCTGTGTCTATGCAGAACGTGATGGCCAGAACAAAAAAGACTGCTATGATATCAAACTCAGACGGCTCCTCCCAAAGGGTGCTCATTAGTGAAACATCTGACCAGGCGCCAGATGTAGAATTGAAACGAGGCGGCTGCCAAGCCGACAGTTCTGAGAGAGGGGCCAAGGTGGTCCCTTCCCATCTTACCGTTGATATGTCTAATTTTCCTCCTGCTCCTTCTAAGGGAGAGGAGGCGGGCCCCTCTGGGAGAGGGGAGGAGTCGTCCTCTTCGGACTCGTCAAAGGACGAGTCCGAGTCCAGCTCTTCTGGCCACAGTTCTCCAGGCTCAGAAGAAAGACATAGCCGCCTACAAGAGGCGAGACTTTCTCATGCAGTTGAGAAGGGGGACAATTGGGCGGAGCCGTCCGCCTCTTACAGAGAGGAAAACGCCCCCTACTACTGCATGGTACCCCGGGGCCGGATCGCAACCATGCAAGACAAGGTGGAGAGCTTTATTGCTAACCACAGAATGGGCCCGAAATTTTTACTGTTCGTGCCGGATCCAGAAGACACTGTCGTCTGGCCGGCTGGTACCAGCTATGACGACGGCTGCTTTGGCTGCTATGTGGCGGCCATCAAAGCTGGACTGCGCTTCCCATTACATCCGGCTGTTCAGCGGATTTTGGATGGGTATGATTTGGGGTTATGGCAGTTAGCCCCCAACTCTTGGGTAAACGTACTCGGCTATGTGGCCGGGTGCGAAATGTACGGGGTGGAGCCAAGCTTTGAGGCTTTCGCCCACATGAACTATCTCAGCCGGACCCCTAAGTCGGGAGGTACCGGCTGGTATCAATTAACAAGCCATAGGGGTTACCTCATGACGAGAGGTAAGGCGAACAAATGGAAGGATTGGCGGAACACCTTCCTTATCATTGAGGGTTCAGACACGGAGCTGAACCAACGTTTTAACAAGTGGAATAGGGATCCGCCTCTTCTCGCAGGCGGCCGCAGCATGCCGCCTGTTCCCCCAAAGGCTAAAAGAGAGATCCTAGACAAAGGACTCTTCAAAGTAGAGACTAGGGTGAACTCTACTTCAGGGGTACGAGAGCAAGTACCCCTAAACTGCGTCCCGAGCTTCAAGTGGCTCTATGACGAGTACTTTTTGGCCACCTGTGGCCTCAGCAGTCGGTGCTCTAGAGGTAGCCGGCCTGACAAATACTCTGTTTTTTTTTTTTTTACGCCTTGTTTACTTGGGATCTTTACTAACTTTGCTGTTTATTTTTTGCAGCTGACGCCATGAGTAAAATAACAGCATCCAAGACTGCGGCGGCCATGTTGCGGGCCTCTCTCATGCAACAGTCTTGTGTCGACTCCCCCAACAAGGGGGCACCCTTGGTAGGCTTCGAAAACTCTTCCTCTTTTAGGAGTTGTCCTATGCATATACTAACTCTTTTTGTTTTCAGTCTGGCACTCCAAGAGCTTCTTCCTCGCAACAGCCGGACCCCAAGGCCCGGAGGACGACTGTTGCAAGCTCTCCTGGGTCTTCCAGGAAAACAGTGGCGGCTGAGAAGCAGCCGGCCACTTCTTCTAAAACCCCGGCGGGGCCGCCTAGAAGTATGGACAATCACTTGTAAAAACTTTCACACTTGCTTCCTTCTTGACTAGGTCTAACTTGCTTTTTTTACGCTTGATGCAGCCGGCCCTCAGGGGCTTGACTTGGTTGAGGTAGCCAAGTCCATGATCAAAGCAGGTCCTCCATCTGAAAGGGAGGCGGTCAGGGGTGCCGGCACCCTTGACCTTGATGGGATTGCAGGGGTCCTTGCTGAGGTATACTTAGCATATTTTTGAGTATTTGAGTTCCAGGACGCCTGTTATCTTTTTTGTTTGGAAACTGACGCGTGTTTTTTTTTGTACTTAGGCCCTGCTCCGAGTTAACAGCCTTCGCAAGCCGATTGATCGGAAAAACAAAGAGGTAAAGGCCGCAAAAGCTATGGCCGCCTCCAACTGTGATAAGGCAATGTTTCAAATTGCCCAAAATGAAGTACTGACCATTGATATTATTTATTATCAGGCGCAGGCTACCGCCGCTGTTCGGGCTCAGTTAGAGGCGGCCCAGAAGAAAAATGACGAGCTGGAGGCGACCGTCACAAATCTTAAAGCCGAGCTGAAACCTCTTCGCCAAAAAATGCACTCTTACGAAGCCATGGAGAAGTCTTTGGCCAACGTAAAAGAACGCCTGGTGAGCCAAGAGAAGAGTCTTACCCAAGAGCTCTCGGAAAAGGCCGAGCAAGAGAAGAAAGAGCTCGTCCGGGAGATGGTGGAAGACTCCGCTCAAATCCAGCGCATGACCTGGGGCCGCCTGTTCCCCAATGCCGACTTTGCCTCATGGGAAAGAACGTACCGCCAGTGTTCGGAAACATATAATCAAGAGATCCTGGCGGCTGCTGAAGAAGAGGCGTTGGGAGATGCGTTGGAGGAGGAAGAGCCGGTTGTGGCGCTTGTGCCACTTGGGGGTAAGGCATCAAAAGAGGATGCAGCTGAAGCCGAGTCCAGCAAGAAGAGTGCTGACCAGGCGGCAGCTGCTAATACTGAACTGCCCCCTTCTTAAGCTTAATGTATTTTTTCCACGGCCTGCGTGCCGTTTGCTTTGTATTTACCCGGCCAGGGGGCCGGGGCTTTGAATATTTTGCTGGTCTTTAATGACCGGCTTATTTTTAATCAAATTTTTGTTTTGATTCAAATTTGTCTAAGTATTCCATATCTAATATCCCATTGTTCACTAGACCGACTGTTGTACATGGCCGAACGTTGCAGACAGGTACAAATAGTAAGTACGCCGCCTATGCCCCTGGACGACTGGTTGTCTGTTTCCAGGATAGACGATCAGTCGGCCATTTATTCAATCGGTATTCGAACTATTTATTCAATCGGTCTGACCAAGTAAATAGTATTACCTAGTCGCCAAGGAATTAAGTAGGATAACAAGCGGCGGGTACCGGTTGTTTCCCTTTATTGCCAATGTTGGCTTTTAACTCGTAATTTGTTAACCTAGCAAGAGTAGTGGTTGAGAGTCCCTGTTTGTTAAAAACAGGCGGACGACTCATACCTTTTAGGCTCCATACTAAGTTTGAGTGACTATTTAGTTAACATAGGAGTTACTTAGTCTTCGTCACACTCTAGATTGAATAGTAGAGGTACCAGGCAGCGGAGGCCGGCTGATCCTCTTGATTTGCCAATGTTTGTTGGCTATTAACTCAATAGGTTACCTAGTAGGAATAGGGGTTTGAGTGCCCTTGTTTGTTTAAAACAGGCGGACGACTCAAACCTTTTAGGCTCCATACTAAGTTTGAAGGAGTGACTATGAGTTAACGTTGGAGTTACTCAGTCGCCGTCACTTTTGTTTGAGAAGTAGAGGTACCAGGCGGCGTAGGCCGGCTAGACCCCTTGATTTGCCAATGTTTGTTGGCTATTAACTCAATAGGTACCCCCTGCATTTATCCCAAGTAATACAGGCGGTCATCTAACTCAGATGTCAACTGCTACCACTGGTTTGGTTAGTGATAGAGTTATCCTTGTCTCAAAAACGGCTACGTGGTTGCCCTTGGGGACAGTCGTATAGGTGCCGTGTAATTAGTTTATAGAACAATGTTCCACCCAAAAGGGAGCTGCTCTCTGCGACGAATTTCATCCGGAGGGATGCCGTCGGACGCCTGCTATGATGTTGGGACAGGTCGTATTAGTTTTGTAGATTTGATCAGGTGGCTTGGCGCCTGGTCTGATCATTCGGCCGGTGGCCTTGGTAAGTTCTTGGTGAACGTAGGTGCTAAGTAAAAGAAGGGTAGCCGCCTGTTAGGCACAGGGTCGGCCAGACCCTAATCTTTTTAGCTAAGTATTGTGAGTAAAATACTCAATGGAGAGTAGCCGACTGTAAAG